AAGCTGGAGGAAATAGGGGAAAATGTTGGTAAAATTCAGCGCACTCACCTGTAAAAGAGGTAGAGGAGGAAGTGGACATGCTCCCTTTTTTCTCTCCCTCTCTCGCCGTGAATGAATGAGATGGCACAGGCAGACCAAGCGTTTCTCCCGGTGTTCCTTTGATAGAGCAAATGTAGGGTGAAGTAGAGATCAGCTTGCTGGACATCAGGTCTCCCGACGCTCTAGTTTGAGTTACATGTTTCAACTGACTTTAACCTGCATGGCGCATGAAGCCAAGTGACCGTCTGGAATCAAAGAGATTTTCCATGGATGAATATTTTATAGTGACTCTGTAACATAAGCTGCAGCAGCGTGAGAGACAGACTGATTTGTTTTAAACTGAACCAACAGATTCCTTTGAGGCTGTGGCACAGATCCGAAAAAAACATCCTCTGAACTGCTCCAAAGGTGATTTCTCTCTCTCTCTCTCTCTCTCACTTCATTTCCCAACTTCTCACAAAAGGTTGCTCAAGCTCAAAGGCACTGACGGCTCAATCTCATATCTACCCTCCACAAGCCAGGTCTAAAAATTGAATTAGTGCTAGCATTTTAGCTGCAAATGTGGGGTTTCCCCATAAACAAGTCTTCCAGTAGAAAAGATGCAGATGCGTCGTTGGTATGCGAGATCTTCTGAGCTTTATCACTGCTCTTCTAACCATGCGGCATCTATGACCTCCCCCCAACATGCTCCCAACCATCCCCACCTCTCTCCCTCTCTTTCTCTTGTTGATGAAGATCCATACTTAACATCCCCCACCCAGCCCGTTTAAAAGACCTACCCACCACTCAGTAAGCTCAAATTAATTTTCCTTACAAGATTACCATAAATATTCACTCCAATCACCCGTGAAGCGATCACACAGAAGAAAACCCAAAATTTTTATTAGCCTACTATAATGTATCCTCTCCTTCAGGAACCCCAAACTTTCCTCACTGATCTGATGTCTGCTGTTGACTCTTTCAGCTTCATATCCTTGTTGAATAGCGCAGCTTGGCTGGTTCCAGATCAGCGACTGGTAACTGAGAAGTGGGGGGTGGGATTGAATAAATAGCGCCATCCATCGGTTTGATAAAGGCAGTCAACTTCACTGTTATTAATGTACCTCACACTGAGAGAGAGACAAAATGATAGATAGATAGATAGATAGATAGATAGATAGATAGATAGATAGATAGATAGATAGATAGATAGATAGATAGATAGATAGATAGATAGATAGATAGAT